AGAGAGAAACCACCTTGCTAGTGATCACACAATATTTAGAAGCAGAGCCAGCCTTGTGGTCTAGTGTTTATTTCCCTCTATCAGGAATTGTAGACACAGATGTCTGTAAGGGCCAGGCAGGCAACAAAAATGAGAAAAGTGGGCTGGGTGCATTGGCTCATTTTTCTGGAATGTATGACTTTCTCATACTATATGTGTGATGAACATTTGGTACAAGAAATATTTTATTTTCCTCTTAAACTACCACGTGAGAAAGATGGTAGTATGGTTATATTGTGATTTGATGAATTACAGAAGATTCAAAAATCAAATGTTCCTTTTCTATGCTGCCATGAGACTTTGTGTATACATAAATGTGGCTCTTCTCATGTTACAGTTTCAGTCTTTGGGTTCATGTCCTAGCTTAGCACTGAAAACCTGACCTTTCCAGTTTCATTATTGAACCCCTACCCTCATTTATGCGCACACATGTATACCCTAAGCTCCAACTTCACTGAACTGTAGTTCCCCAACATGCCTTTTTTTAAGAAAAAAAAATTTATTTCAAAATATTAGGGGGTACAAGTGTTCTTGTTACATGGATAGATTGTATAATGCTGAAATCAGGGCTTTTAGTGTGCCCACCACCATAATAGTGTACATTGTACCCAATAGGTAAGTTTTTATCCCTAACCTCCCTCCCTTCCAACCCCCTGCTCAATTTCCAGTGTCCTTTACACCACTTTATGACCATATGTACCCATCATTTAACTCTCACTTATTAGTGAAAACATGTGGTGTTTGTTTTTCCATTCCTGAGATACTTCATTTAGGACAGCAGTCACCAACCTTTTTGGCACCAGGGATCAGTTTCATGGAAGACAATTTTTCCACTGATGGGTGGGGGTGGCGGGGTGGGGGAAGGCAGAGTTTAGGCGGTGATGTGAGAGAGCAGCTATAAATACGGATGAAGCTTTGCTCTATGGGCCTGCCGCTCACCTCCTGCTGTGTGCTACCACTCCGCCCCAAGTTTCACGGAAGAAAATTTTTCCACGGATTGGGGAGCAGAGCTCTGTGGCCTGGTCCCTAACAGTCCACAGGTACCAGTCCATGGTACCTGGGAGTTGGGGACTGCATATTTAGGATAATAATCTCTAATTCCATCCAAGTTGCTGCAAATGATATTATTTCATTCCTTTTTATGGCTGAGTAGTACTCCATGGTGTGTGTGTGTGTGTGTGTGTGTGTGTGTGTGTGTGTGTGTGTATTTTCTTTATCCACTCATCAATTGATGGAAACTTCGATTGATTCCATATCTTTGCAATTGTGAATCGTGCTGTGATAAACATTTGGGTACAGATGTCTTTTTGATATAGTGACTTCTTTTCCTTTGGGTAGATACCCAGTAGTGAGATTGCTGGATCAAATGATAGGTCTACTTTTAGTTCTTTGAGGATTCTCCATACAGTTTTCCATAGAGGTTGTACTATTAATAATTTACAGTCCACCAACAATGTATAAGCATTCCTTTTTCACTGCATCTATGCCCATGTTTATTTTTTTTTGATTTTTTAATAATGGCCATTCTGATAGGGGTAAGGTGATATATCACTGTGATTTTAATTTGCATTTCCCTGATGATTAGTGATGTTGAGCATTTTTTCATATGTCTGTTGGCCATTTGTATATATTCTTTTGAAAAAACTCTGTTAATGTCTTTTGCCCACTTTTTAATGGTTTTTTTTGTTTGTTTTTTCTTGCTGATTTGTTGGAGTTTTGAGTTCTTTGTAGATTCTGGTTATTAAGCCCTTTGTCAGATATAGTTTGCAAATATTTTCTCCCATTCTGTAGATTGTCTGTTTCCTCTGTTGATTATTTCCCTTGCTGTGCAGAAACTTTTAAATTTAAGTCCCATTTATTTATTTTTGTTGTTGCTCTATTTGTCTTTGGGGTCTTTGTCATAATTCTTTGCCGATGTCTAGAAGATTCTAGGCCGATGTCTAGAAGAGTTTTTCCAATGGTTTCTTCCAGAATTTTTATGGTTTCAGGTCTTACATTTAGGTCTTTAATCCACTTTGAGTTAGTTTTTGTATATAGTGAGAGAGAGGGATTCTGTTTTATTCTTCTACACCACATGCCATTTTTAACACCCCTCTCTCTCTCTCCCTCTCTCTGCCCCTCTCTCCCCCTCCCCCCCTTCCTCTGCCACTTCTGCTTCAATCAACCTCAATTTCTGGTGCCACTGTCACCCACTCTCATTGGTGCTAGGTGAACCTCTAGCTCAGAACTGTAAGCTCAAAAGCCATTCGCAGTCGTAGACCTTTTAGTCTATGGGATGGGGGGCTGGGGGGGGTGGAGGAGAGAGAGTGCGTGTGTATGTGCGCGTGTGCATGTGTTAGTGTTACCAGGGTATACAAGCACTTTAACAAGCACTTATTCAAGTGCCCCACTTAGAACTTGCCTAAAATTCTCAAAGTTAAAGCATAGTCCAGAATTAAATTGTATGGTTCCTGAATTTTCAGGAGGTGACATACTGCCTCTGGTATCAAATTTGATTAAACTTGATAACTTTAATGCCATTTGGTTCTACTGGGGAGGAAGAATTTAATTGCTTACTCTAGAGAGTGGATTTTTTTCTATTGACTAAGGAACAGAACATTTATTAAATTATCTTGGTGACCTGAAAGGGAAAAATATGCTTCTTTTTCTTTGCCAGAAGCAGGTCCAGGGCATTATTAGCATGTGGTAAAAATTGAATAATTGAGCAATACTGACTTCTTTGGGATTCAGCCTTCTAGCCCCTGCTGTGTGATTAGTTCTGTCCAACCTGCTGGCATGCTTGAGCAGGGAGCCTGCAGAGGATTAGGAAGGAAAAACCCTTTAGCAAGTCTCAGGTATTACAGATGTTTGATTTAATTTCACATTACATATGGTTATCCAGTTTCCCTTGGCAACCTCCAGTTCTGCCCTACTTTATAATCAAGGGGTGGCAGACTTGATGGCATCATCTGGAAGTGACTGTAGAGAACAGCGTTTGCCTCAAAAGGAGAGACACAAAGTTCACTGAGAAAAGACAGAAGAGTCTGAGGTCCCTTAAAGAAGAGACAGATAGTTCTCTGGAAGTCAGATTTCATTGAAGAGGGAGGTTCTGGAACTACCTATGGCAGAACAGTTTGAGGATGTGAGGGAATGGGATCAAGTCCTAGAACCTTTTAAAGGATAAATCTGAATTTTATTATTTGTAAGTTGCAGATAAGGTTTCAATTCAACAACAATAATAGCTACCATTTATTCAGTACACGCCAGAAATCTTACTTGGTTCTTTACAAATGCAATTTCATTAAACTCACAATATCCCTGCAAGGGCAGTGTTAGTATCTCTGTATATTTGAGGAAATAAGCGTTTCTAGATCTCTTAAAGTATGAGGCTGAAGAAAGGGTGGGACAGAATTGACCATAGAGTCTCACCTTTAGGAGACCATTATTCATTTTTTCGATGATCTCCAAGTCTTATAAGTCTCAATAGCCTTCATTATAAAACAGTGTACTAACAATGTCCATTAATGATAACATTTAGCTGTCTAGAAAAGTTTATAGTCATCTTAATCCAACTCTCTTATTTTACTCTTTAGGAAATTGAGTCCCATAAATTAAGTAAAGCCTAAAGCCAGGTTTTCTGACTTGTGCTGATTTGTGTATTATGATACCATGCCCATGAACTTTGAAATTGGCCTTGAATAAATGGAAGGAAAGAAGGAATGGGTCTTATAGTACTACTATAAATGGTGTTAGATTGAGCTAGCAGAGTAAACAAACTAACAAATCAAAAAGTACTGGGGAGACATTCAGGTACCAGGAACAGTTCTTACCTAGCTGGTGATTAATTTACTCTGCTTGGCTCAAGTCTGAGAGAATTAATGTACCTAATGATCATCAGTCTTTAGACATCTCTAGAGCCTTGCTGGTCATTTGAAGGAAGTCCTGTTATTTAGGACAGGGCTCTCCATATGAGCCACAGCATATACTTAAATTAAGCCATGTCTTGACTGGATATGAATGACGACTGGCCATTTTTGTGACATGTAGAAGCAGAGACTACATATGGTATTTTATGGACTTAATACATATGTATTCCTGTCGTGTTTACAAATGTTATATACTGTGGCAGGACATGAATTACCTTTCTTTAAGGTGAAAGCTGTGGGAGTCTAATGGAAAACTGAGAAATCTTAGTATCATGTACTTACTATGCAAAACATTTTACATAAATTTCATTTAATCCTCATAACAACTGTGATTGTGAATGTTATTGTCTTCATTTTAATAATTTTTCTAGTTTATTAATCCTTCCCAGAATGTTTTCCCTAATATTTATTATGAAAGTTTTCAAATGTATATAGAAAAGTTGAAAGATTGTTAGTGAACACCCATATAGCCACTTAGATTCTATAATTGTTACTATTTTTTAAATATTTGTTTTATTATATATCTAGCCATCCATTTATCTGTCTTTTTGTTGTATTTCAAAATGAATTGTAGACCTTAGTACATTTTACTTCTGAACACTTAAGTGTAGATATCATTAACTAGATAGAGTTCAAAATGTTAGCCTTAATTTACAAAACAAAAAAAACCCTGGGCCTTCAATTCTATGTTTTAGGGACTGTGTACTTAGTCACTTCGGGCTTTCCCTCATGAAATAATAAGATATTTTAAATGTAAGCTACACATGTTAAGAAACACTCATACCTCATTAATGAGAAATAGAAATCTGTAGGGAGGAGGGGGATACCCTGTTGAATTCCTAGGCCCCAGCAAGCCAGCATTGCAAAGTGAAATCTTACCTCATTTCTGATTTTAAATGAGAATGAAGTCATTGCCACATTCAGAACACTGACTCCTCTCCTAAAAAGGGGAGTTTGATTAACAAATTAGTTAAGCACTTCAGCAATGATATTGGGACTTAATTTCACTGACATTTTCCCCCCTTTTCTTTTTGGGTGTGACTAAATTGTCTACAGCATGCTGCATGGTTGCTGGTAAAACAGGAAATGGGGTAAGTAATTTAGGTAGGGAATTTTTACTACCTTTTAAATACAGGCTATCTGATGCTTAAAGTACTTTTACTACTATCTGTTTTCTAGAGTGAATTCACTATCTACTAGAGAAATTGACTAGATTTATTGTATAAATTTAGGGTGTCAACCTTGTTTAATTAATTTGCATAGCGTATTAGTAGTCCATTAAAGCAGATTCATTTTATGTGTGATGATTTAATGTTAATGTAAATACATATTTTATATGCATTAGGCACTTATATAATGTAGTTTGGGAAGTTATTTTAGAAGAATAAATTTTACATTGGTCTTACAAACTAAACTATAAAACTATGCCATAAAAAATAAAAAGTAAGATCCTAGTTAAGACAGAAAACAGTGAGTTTGTACATAGATCAGACAGAGAAAATATAGGTTCACAATATTTTATCTGAAACCCTTGCAGGCCAAATGTGTTTTGGAATTTAGAATTTTGGGATTTTAAAAATCTAATATAGTGTTTAATATCATACATATGTATCATACCTTTCCCCTCCAGGGTCTGGAGTAATACTATATAGTCAAACATTAATATTTCTGCAGTGAAACATGAATATTCACACTAAGTTTGCTAAACAAAGTATTTAAATAGCCTCGTGTTCAAATCAGGATTTGATTGCCAACTGAGTTTAACAAAAACAACTTTAATTTTCCAGCCTTTTCAAGTTTAGAACTAAAAATTCTGTACTAATATAAAAAGGGCCAGGCAACTGTTGGAGGTTCCTGCATATTCTGGAGAGAAAAGCCCAGAGAGGTTTAGATTTCTATATTAGAACCTCATACTTGGTTAAGTGATTTGTAGAAAAAGTAATTAATTTGGCTTTTTTGTTTTAAAAACTTTTAAAA